TAATTTCTCATCATTTATCAGAAATTGAGTTCTCATTGGGATTGAGGCAAAGATTTTGTTGTTTGCTCATTCAGCCCGGCCTATGGTCAATTTGCATGATTAACAAGCATTGGGAGTGGCAGCCCACTTAGACAAGTAATAACATTCCCTATTCTAGTGTCTTTCCAGACTAGTTTGTTTGCTCCTATTGCTGGCACAAGCCTCTGCGACTTGCAACTAAAACCAAAATTAGATATCATATTAATTTCCAGGCATATTACAATACACCAATCATTCAATATATTTGAAACCAATCTTGAAATGATTCTGCAAGAAATTTTAATAAGTCACTAAAACCAATATGATTTGTAGACATAAAAATTTAAAAGAATTAACAGATCCATTCTGCTCAAGTATAAGCCTCTGCAACTTTAGAATTAACATCAAATTAAAATCAAAGTTATATATCTTTCGTTCAACAGAAGTGACCGAGTATATATTAATACCTGAAAACCTTTCTTGAAATGGTCCTGCAGGGAATGTTTTACCAACAATCTGAAACAAACATGTTTCATAGACAATAGTAATGCCAAACATCTATTCATTACCATGAGGAGGTGTTTTCTTTAATTATGCTTTTTTCCCTTTCAATGGCTGAATCTCTGTGATGAAAATATACATAAGCGTAAAGCATTTGAACCTCCTTGAAACACACAACCAATAGGAAGTTATCTAAGAGAACTAAAATATGTAAAGCACACACTGTTCTATAAACTTCTACCTTCAAGATTAACAGTGTCTTACCGTCAACATTGTCTCACAAATCATGCAACCTCCCAAAGTGCCTGCAAATAGCAACATATCACTTTTCACCTTTCCAATATCAAAATGAAGGTCCTGATTTATGTCATTTTCATGCAATAAACATAAAACAAATCAATAGGACAGATAGGAACTACTTAAACTTCCAAATGGATAATAGAACATTTAAAAAGACTCATGAAATTATCGAATACAAAAATGCTTAAGCATTGTGATTCACACTCTTCATTAACGAAAACTGAATATGCAACTTGAGAAGTACTTTAGATTAGATCGTAGAAACCTCCTTTACTTTGAAAACATAATATGAGAAAGAAGAAATGATTCTACAAACTTTAGTAGAAACAGATAAGCGTATATGAAATGCATCAACTACATATGGGAAACACCCATAGGTAGCTTCTTAAATATTACAAAAAAGTTTACGAAGAAAACATCAATTTGGTTTCTACAGAAGGTCCCAGATTACCTGATTTAACATGCTTGAGGAAGTCAGTAGCTACCTTATCATTCATGCTTGCACCACTGATGTGACTGGAGGAAAGATTCCCCTTTTAAAGAAGGAACTGCTGTTTGAACAACTTCAAACCACCACTGAATTTTTGAGGGCTTCAGAATATAAAGTTTACTTCACCCTGTCAGACAAGCTCCACAACATCAGGTTTTCGTTTTGCAACAAGATTTCTTGGCAATAACTAAAACTTTTTAGCTTTTTGTGTATAAGAACATTACCATTTTCAAACTATGTTTCCCTTTGGGGAATTGTTGTTCCCTTGACACAATCACTGCTATTGTTGCCAATACAT